AGCTATATTCACTTTATTGGAAGCCAAAATGATTTGGTATTAACATAAACACTCCAAAAACGGAGACAAAATTAGACAAAACACTTTGACTTTTTTCCTTATAAAATAGTAAAATCCAATCCTAAGTATATAGTAATGCACTCATTTGGCTTTAATTCTAGCATTTGCATAGAAAAAACATTAAGTAAAGATGGCAAAATGAGACAAAAAGTTGAGGAGTTAAATGAACTCCAGAAAAGGTGTTTTAGAGATGGATGACTACTCACGATTCTTAGCAAAACCGACATGATGGTGCTCCTTGGATCGTTGATTGGTGGTGGTGGAAGATGAAGCGGGGAGGCATAAAATGGGGTTAGGTGTAACGACCCGACTTATCGTTTTAAGAATTAGCGCCACGTTCAGTGACTTAAGGTCTCGAGCAGCTTCGCAAAATATATTATGACCTACGGGTGTGGTCGAGTTTGAATTACTAAAGATTCGGAACTAAATTAAAAGAACAATCCTTAGTTAGAAGCTTAAATGGAAAGAGTTTACTTCTGAATAAACGACTCTGGAATGGAATTTTGATGATGTCAATAGCTTTGTATAGTGATTATGGAGTTAGGAGCGTGTCCGAAAAATATTTGGAGGTCTATAGAAGAATTTGACTTGAAATGGCGAAAGTTGAATTTTTGGAGATTTGGACCAGAAGTGAACTTTTTGATATCGGGGTCGGAATTCGATTCCGGAAGTTGGAGTAGGTATGTAATGTCAATTATGACTTGTGTGAAAAATTTGAGGACAATCGGACGTGATTTGATAGGTTTCAGCATCGATTGTAGAAGTTGAAGTTTCAAAGTTCATTAAGTTTGAATTGGGTGTGATTCATGATTTCGATGTTGTTTGATGGGATTTGAGGTCTCGAAAAAGTTTGTGTTATGTTATGAGACTGACTGGTATGATTGGACGGGGTCCTGGGGGCCTCAGATGTGTTTCGGGGTGGTTTTCGGATCATTTCGGACTGTTTCGGAAATGCTGTATATGGTATCTGATTTCCTTCTTCGCGAACGTGAAGAAAAAATTTTGGGGGTGCAGGATTTGGCCTTCACGAACGCGAAAAAGAAATTTTAGGGGTGCAGGATTTGGCCTTCGCGAACGCGAAGTAGGACTCGCGAACGCAGAGATGCCTGAGAAGCTTATGCGAACGCGAAGAGCCAACCGCAAATGCATAGAAGGAAATGGAGGAGTGGGCCTGAGGTCGTTTGGCATTCACGAACGCGAAGCGTGGAACGTGAACGCGAAGTAGCAGGTCAGTTGGTCATCGCGAACGCGAAGAGGAAATGTGGGAGCAGGAAAAGTTGGCCTTCACAAACGCGACACTGATCACGTGAACGCGATGAAGAATTTGAGGCAGATGGGTTTTTGGCTTTCGCAAACGCGGGACAGAGATCGCGAACGTGAAGAAGGCCTGTCTGGGCAGAATTTAAAGTCCCAAAAATGGGGGTTTGAGTTCATAACACAAAAACAAATTGGGAGCTCGATAGAAGGTGATTTTTGGAGAGATTCTTGCGTGGGTGTTTGGAGTAAGTGATTCTTATCCTGTTTTGATTAATTTCCATTATTATGCCTTTGAATCCATCATTTAATTCTGATTTTAATGGAGGAAAAATCAAGATTTTTGTAAAATCTTTCAAAAACGAAAATTTAAGATTTGGAGGTCGAATTGTTATTGGAATTCGATAAAATTGGTATGGTTGAACTCATATCGGAATGTGTATTCGGATTTCATGAAAATTATGTCGGGTTCTGAGGGGCGGGCTCCACGTTGACTTTTGTTGATTTTTTGGAATAAATTTTTAAGTCGGCGTATTATTATCCAGAATTATTTCTGATGAATTTTAATGAAATTATACCATTGAATTGGATAGATTTGAGCTATTAGGTCAATTCAAGCAAGAAAACGATTTTGAAATATCGGCATAACTTCAAAAATGTAAGTGTCTTGCTTAACCTCGAGTGGGAGAATTACCCATTAGGCATCAAGTCTTATGTGCCATTTGTGAAATGTGAAAAGTCATGTACGCGAGGTGACGAGTACGTACTCAGGCTTATATGTGCAAATTTTATTGGATTAAAGTCTTAGGTATTATTGTGTAGTAAATTGGGTAATTGTGGATAATTATTAAATCATATGTTTGCCATGCCTAAATCCTTGTTGTTGAATTTGTTTTTACATGACAATCTGATGTGATTGTTACTTAAAATATTTATGAAATTTCGTGAGAATTGTTGGTTTAATATTTCTTGAAAATTAATTTCATTATGAATTTTCTCTATGCAAATGATTAATTAAATGAACTTAAGAAGATGTGTTAATATAATTATCTAAATCTGGATTAATGAAGGCGTGTCCTGTGTTGATTATTTTTCTATCTCTGTTGATTATTTTTGAGGTTTTATATATACATTGTGTGGGCCTTGGGCTATTGGTTATGAAATTAATTAATTTTGTTATATCCTTGGAATTTGTTGTGGCCATTGGGCAAACTGTAATGTGGATTGATTTTGTTATATTGCCGTGATAATTTACCGTGTAAATTGTTATATTGTGTTGTGTGAGTTATTATTTTGAGGAGATAAGGGTGGTATTTCACCGTCGATATTATGTGGGGATAAGGGTGACATTTCACTGTCGTTGTGTTTGTTGGAATATTATTTGGGCGGAGCGATAAGGGCGGCAATAGGAGCGATAAGGGTGGCAATAGGAGCGATAAGGGTGTTTATTGATATTGTCTGGCGGAGCGATAAGGGTGGCTATATGAGCGATAAGGGTGGCAACAAGAGCAATAAGGGTGGCTATTGTCAGGGACGATATGTGATGATGTGGAGTTGTGGTGTTGGTGATTTTATGTGATGTTGTGATTTTCTTGTGTTTATTTTTATACCATGTGTAATTTGTCTTGTTGTTGGTAAATTGATAACAATCTGATTTATGTTGAAATTGAGAACCTGTGGCTATTGCCAAGAGGATTATAAAATAAAATGTGGGCACAAGGTGCCGTGAGTAAATAATGAGAATATTGGCACGTGAATTATCCGTGCAGTTGTAATATGAAATGTGGGCACAGAGTGTTGTGATTAATGATAATAATATTGGCACGTGAACTGTCCGTGCAACTGTGATATGAAAAGTGAGCACGAGGTGCCGGAGAAATATGATAATTTAATTATGGGCACGAAATGCCGTGAAAAAAATATGAAAATGGGCTGAGATCCGTATTTACGAAAAATATGAAAATGAGCTGAGACCAGTATTTTTATAATTATGAAATGAGGTGTCACATGGTGACTTCTTAATTGAAAAAATTATATTAAAGATATTTATTTAGAAGGATTTTTACTTAGAAAGTATTACATGAAAGAATTGTATTTGAAGGATATTTATTTGAGGAAATTATATTTGAAAAGATTTATTGAAAGAATTATATTTGAAAAATAATTATTTGAGAAAGTTATATTTGAAAGAGAGTTATTTGGAAGAATTACATATGAAAGACATTTATATGAAGGACTTGATTTAATTTGATGTAATTGTATTTATTAATTGTTGAGTGATATTAATGGTATTCTTGTTGTCTGCTGTGCATATCACTGGTTGTTTCATGTTGCCCTTATTGTTATTTGTTTCCTATTATTTTGTATATTATATTGCATATGTTATTAGACTAGTGAGTGTCTTGACTGTACCTCGTCTCTGTTCCACTGAGGTTAGTCTTGATACTTACTGGGTACTGACCGTGGTGTACTCATACTACACTTCTGCACATTTTTGTGCAGAGCCAGGTATTAAAGATATCGGATTTGGGCAGAGGTTAAGCGGGATCGTAAGGATTCAAGGTAGAGTTGTTTGGTTGTCGCAGTCCCCTGAAGTCTTTTCATTCTAATGTACTGTTAATTTATAATCAAACAGTATTGTATATTCGGTCCTCGTGATCATTCCATGTATCCGATTAGAGTTCGTGACTCAGTACTACCAGTCTTGGGAGGTTGTATATTCATATTTGTTCCGCTGTTAGTTTCTATTAAAAAAATGGCTTTAAAATATAATTGAAATCGGCTTACCTAATCTTAGAGACTAGGTGCTATCACAACAGCGGTGGTGGAATTTGGGGTCATGACATTAGGGCGGTGAGGTGGCATGCCACGTGGTATCCAGCTCAGTGATATGTCAGGCCACGTGGGATAATGTTGGTCATGGTGGAGGGTCTTAACGGAGGAGGGGTATATTTGCACCAGTTTTGTAACGTCGAGGGTATTAGTGGACTGTAAGTATAACGAAGGGCATAAATGATCCTTTTCGCATAGTAGAAGGATATTTTTAGCCCCTTTCCCTATTATATGATATGTATAGTTACAAAATAATGTATAACTAATTTAACTAAATTCATCATCTATGCATATTTAGAAGAAATTTTAAAACAATTACCATGAGAAAAAATATTTTTATCATTTAAGAAAATATTGCATCTTATTTTAACGTCAATATATATATTTTTAATTGATAGACACTATACACACGCACACACGTATACTAAAACTAGTAGATATATAAAAGGATAAACCAAGTATAAATTTCTTTTTTTTTTTAACCAAAAAAATCAATTAAGGAAATAAGTGTAATACCTTAATTTATAAGGAAGGAAATTATGCAAATCAAACACGAAGAGAGATCTTTGTTTGAAGAAAATGGATCTTTACACAAATAGCCGACACGATTCACTATTTTTTTTAATTGGTAAATATAAATTATATACTATTTATATAAGATTTTACAGATATCATAAATACTATATATATATATATATACTAACTATTTTAAATTTAAGCGTTGAGTTACCGGTTATTTAAGTGAATTCTTCTGAAAAAATGACGAAGAAAAGTAGCAACTTCCAAAGACTGGGTTGTCAGCGTTGGGCTATCACAAAAGCCCAAAACCGAACCCAATCCACATTATTATATACGCCTTGCTAGGGCGTCACCTCCATCCTCTTCTTCCTCTGATTAGGGTTTTAAACTCCGGTAAGTTCCAGAATCTCAAGAGATGGACCTTTTGAAGAAACGAAAGCTCGAGGATAACGGCGTTATCACCGACGTCCCCGTTACCAGTAGACTCACAATCGAAGACGCACGGAAGATTCTAGAATCAGTCACCCCCGAACAAATGCTTGAAATCCTACAAACCGCTGTTGTACGTCACGCCGACGTTTTAGACCAAGTACGAGTAATCGCCGATCGCGACACGACTCAGCGGAAGCTCTTCATTCGCGGACTCGGCTGGGAAACGAATACAGAAAAACTTAAAGCGATTTTTGGTAATTATGGCGAGTTAGAAGAAGCCGTTGTAATTACCGATAAAGCCACTGGTAAAAGCAAAGGTTACGGGTTCGTTACGTTTAAGCATGTTGATGGAGCTTTACTTGCTTTGAAGGAGCCGAGTAAGAAGATTGATGGACGAATGGCAGTGACTCAGCTCGCGTCAGCTGGGATTCAAGGTGGGCCTGGCGGCGGGAGTACCAATAATCCGGTGGATGTTTCGGCGAGGAAGATTTATGTAGCGAATGTGCCGTATGATATGCAGGCCGAGAGGATTTTACAGCATTTTTGTATGTATGGGGAAATAGAGGAAGGGCCATTAGGGTTTGATAAGGCGACTGGGAAGTCGAAAGGGTATGCTTTGTTTGTGTATAAGACGGCGGAGGCAGCTAAGGCTTCGCTAGTGGATCCTGTTAAGAATATTGATGGGCATCAATTGAATTGTAAGCTAGCTATTGATGGGAAGAAAGGGGGGAAGCCTGGAGGAGGAGCTCAGGCTCAAACGGATGGTCATGTTGATCAGGTTGGCCCGGGCCAGTATGGTGGGCCTAGTGGGATTACTGGTTAT